CTACTTTCAATGGCTTTATCTGTAGTTCCATTGTATTCAAACAAGGCAAACATATTCCTGCTGTCTTCCATCCCCAAACCTCGAATTAATTTTTCAACAACCTAGGAGATAAAATAAAAAAAGACTGGCCTTAATTCTTTTCCATTTTAACTATTTTAATCTTGACATTTTGTATCAGATCCGCAGCTGTTTCTTTCTCAATTAAAGGTGGTTATGATGTAAAATTTACAGCTTTAAACTCACAAGTATATGGACAATTGTTAAGAGTTACACAAAACCAGAACCCAGCTTTACCCTTTCTTCTCAGGAATATTCTGAATTTGAACACTAGAAATATTAGTGTAAGAATACAAGATCATTTGTAAAAACAAGATCGTGTATATAGTTATTCCATTAAAATTCTACAGTTTAGTATGTAGCATAATACAATAATATACTGTAGTATTACAAGTATAACTAGTTCCACAGTTTTAAACTATTTCTGCTATCTAAACTATTCTTGATATTTGTATTATTTAGTTCTGTGAGTTGGAAGAGGATATAAATCAATCTGTTAATATGTTCACCAGAAAGATAGGCATAAAATATGCCATTGTACAGTTATTCTTTAAAAACATCCTATATTTTATGAAACGTTGAACAACCTACTTACTCATTAGTAAATTACTCTCACTAGGTCAATTTCACAATCTCTATTATTCCACTTTACTTTCATAATTCAAGAATACAGATCGGGAAGAGATACCTATTTCCAAAATGTCTAGAAATAAAACGAAAGTTTTTTTTTCTACTTCAGAAGAAATTGTCATGTGTCAGTACATTATTTTGCCCAGTATTATGGAATGTGAGTCTCTAAAATACGTAAGTCAAATCTTTTCTTTTCTTTCTTTCTTTCTTTTCAAAACTACTCACCTCACCAGCCGTGGTGTGAGAGTTAATTGTGATTTTACAGGAACCTCCTCCGTGACAGTAGACGGTAGATGTCATTTCCTGTCTGTTGATCAAAGTTTCGATTTCGTCCCTGGATGGCACAAATTCTCTGCCTTTGGTTTTTTTAAGGGACTCATAAATGAACAAGGCGTATTTTGCCATTTCTGTGGCTGGGAATTGATCATGGACCCTGTGGGGAGAAATATTAAATTTCATTTTCTGGTTGCATTTAGTCTTTTCCCCTTATCTGCATTTGTGTTCTGGTGTCGATGGCCACTCCTTCTGAAACCATGGCTCCATCCTTAAGGCTTTCTTAGGGACCGTTACTTCCTTAGCAATCTCTCATTACCTCCTTCAAACTTAGGTTTGAAGTCTCCTCATTGGACTTTGTTTTCACTACAGTGTAGTTGGGCCTACAAGGCAGGGTAAATCTACTTGCATTATTACCATCTCTATTGATTTTTCACTGAGGTACTTGAATGTATCTGCTCCTTCCCTCCCTAGAAACGAAAGATTAATTCTGAGGCAAACCATGGATCTACTATTAAATTGTGTTCCTATTAATTCTCTGTACAAGTAGTCCTTAACTTATGGTTGGTTGCTCAGTGACTGCTCAGAGTTACAATGAACCTCCTCAAGGGTCCAACGGCTACCTCCTGGTGGCCATGTATGTTGGGGACTCAGCAACCAACTTGCATTTCTGGCCATTTGCAGCATATCCCACAATTGGGTAACTGTTGTGGCCCAGCAGGAGCCATTGGAGCTGCCACCAGACTCCAACAGCGAGGGGTCCTATG